TAATATGTAATGTACGGTACATGTCCTGTTATATTTGGTAATTTATGTCGTGTATTTGATTTCTACTTGCACTTTCTGTTTTTTAGTCTCCTCGATGTAAAATTTGTAGTCAAACACCGGCAGTTAAGAAAAGCAAACATCTTTTCTTAGACTTGACGAAGGTTCGTATTGGATTGTTGTTGAATTTTGCCAATTTGAGCCAGCCTTCGTGCAGCACTGCAGCGGCTTAATTGTATTTCGGTATTTCATCAATACTTCTGAGAAATAATCTATCAGTGTTTGTTTAAAATCGGATGTTCAGTATAAGTAGTTGTATTTAACAACAATCTGCAGTAGAATGTAGCCTTTATAGCCCTAACCACCTGGTAAGGGCCTTCGAAGCGTTTTAATAATTTTCGGTTAGTTCACAGTTCGTGTTCAAAATTTATGCATTCCTTTTGGGTTTTCTTTTCAGTTACAACCCGAGTTAAGTTCGTGGATAGAGAAAGCATCAACTGAAGGTATATGTTTTACATGGAAAAGAGTGTCACTGCTTTGAAGTAGCATTTGTCTTTTTTAAAGTTTTTTTATACATTAAATTAAAATAGTATCATTTTATTAATGGCTGCGACTATGAATCTGATTCGTTAAAAATGAAAAATACTCTAATTAATTATGCTAATCTGGAAAGTGTTCAATCTTGGGCTCTTGGCCATACAGCCTCTTTTTCGTGATTTAAATATTGCATTTAGAGTCTTTTATCCTTTTGTAGATGACACATTTCCGAAATCATACAGTAGCAATATATAATCTAAAAGATCTTTATATAAACTGATATCTCAATCACAAAAACGAGATTCTATAGTCAAGGCTGAGTACTTTCCGGAAGGGTGTATTGGAACGAACGTGGCACTGACGCGATTGGCTGAATTTAGGTTGATTAGGCTAATCAACCCAAGACTTGAAAATAATACAAAATGTTAGAAAATGTGTCCGATGTTTTTATTGAAATATAGCAAAAATTTGGCAGATAATAGGCCGTTTGCTGTGACCTTGAAAAGTGCCTAGAAAACGATTTTCGTAGTGCATGTCTTGGAACTGAAATACTTTTACGGGAACTAACACTGTCGAACACGCTGAGTTCAAATCCGAAAAGTTCCCGCTCCGTAGACCTTGCGTTTTCTCACAAATTTCACGACAAACTTTTTCTTTGTTCAATGACACGGATGGATGACACACGAATGCATAACTCAAAATGACTAATTCCTATGAACCAGTCTCTGCATTTAACAAAAGACCGTTTTGCTTGGATCATTAATGTGACCTTCCATGGGAAAACATACGTTAACGGTTTTGAAAAATCGTTCGTTATCCGTTCGTTATCCGTTTAAACGCTTTAGCTTTCCGTTGAAACGATATTTGAGATCGTTCAGACTTCTTAATGGACCGTTCGAACGGTTGGACAAAAACATTTGAAAAATGCTGCTAAATCGTTCGAACGACTGGCACAAAACGTTCAAATACGTTCATGAAGCCGTTTAAATGCCTTACAGAACGTCTTTACAATGCTTATAAGCTGGCTTTGTAGGCATTTAAAAGTTTATCTGAAACCGCTTGTCTTGTAGGATTTACAAAAAAACCCACTATTAAGTATTATAGTATTACAGACAGCAGTATAATATAAGTTCGCCACCCCTCACAATATTAAATATTCTTTATTAGAGCAGCGTCGAAACTGTTGCGGTGAAATACTGCAACAATAAAATTGAGCAAAAGGTTTCTCGAATGTTAAAAGGTTGCTTAAATCCGCGAGCTTGCCGTTTCCGTCTTTTAATAGCGTCAGCTTAGTGTCAGCTAATTCACTTTAATAAGTTTTATTATTTTTCTGGCCGAATATAATATACCTGCATGCCTCACCAGTTCAGACAGCGAATTTTTCCTATATGTGCCGAATATAATACAACGATTGAAAGCGGCAGTAGATCGGCGTCTAATTGCCTAAATCAATTAATTCTCGCAAGGATTGAATAACTACGTGCGACACGGCACAAATTTCTCTAAATCATGTCACATTGTCCAGGAAAGACTCGACATAAGTTTAAACGACACGCTTTTCATGCACCGAAGTTAATGCATTTTAACAGTTTCACGCAACTCGTCGAAATACATTACCAGCAACGAAATAACATATGACATTTCCAACATAGTGCATGGCATGTATATATATGTATTTTTTGTACGACATTTGTAGAAAGTCCAGTACTGAATTTGCAACAACGCGGGTATAGCCGGAGTAATAACAACGTGCATGTTGCCAGACGGCAAATGAGGTATTAATTACTCAACTTAGTTTGATGGGAATCGGCATCTTGGCCCGCATCTAATACCTGACTGGCACCCATAAACCTATAATTATAATATTAACAAATTCGTGTGGTATAATGTGCACAGATGGACTTCATCAGGTCGCTTTAAACAGAAGAGTTCTATATAGAGAAGAGTTTTTTAAACGCTGCCCTATGCATGCATGCACCTTCCAAAACTAGCGTATGAGAAAATTAGAAAAATATATAGGGAGAGTTTATAATTATTTGATTAAATAATAACTATAGGTATGCATATATAGTTTAGTAAAATTAATGGAGTAGCATGCATGTATGATATACTGTCAGATATAGTATCACATTGTAATGGTTTTATCCGAACGGCAACGACGCAAACTGTACTCGAAGACCATGGCCGCGTGCGAGGCACTCTCCACACACAACATTATTCGCCGATTATTTTCTTATGCGAATACTACGATTGTTACTTGATTCACAGCTGGTATTCTCCTGTCACCAACCGAAACCGATATTGTTTCACTTTCAGTGTCAAAAAATGTTACAGCCAGCTACTGGCTATTTATTAGCTTGATCTGATCCACTTATCTGCATAGGGAAAACGTCCAAGTTGATATTAACCCTGGTCTCTGAAGCCTTTTAATTTAACTGCTAGCTTTATTTAACTATTTCACAAAATGGCCGATTTTATAAATTAAAGATGTGGGAATGAGCTACAACATAAAGAATAATAAAGCACAGTTAGTCAATCATGCAATTTTTCCTGTTAATTAAACTATTCATGCATTTATTCCCCATTTTGCAGCGTGTGCTTACATGTGTAAAATAGGATGTTTCAGGATAGAATATTATCACATTTTTGGCGTTTCAAACACTTTTTATAATTATTTAATTGACATGGCTAATAGAAATTTTGTGCCTTCCGTCTTTCGGGAGCTATTGTGCTATAATATCTGATATAAGCAGGTGTTATAAGTACAACGACTGTCATATAACTCTTTAATTATCGCGAGGAATCTCAAAGATATAAAGAATTATTCCGATAGGCGATACCCTAATTTTCTTTTCAACTAGTCGCATCCAGCCCTGCTGTCGAGTGGACATTACTCGGTTAACATATCGATTTTTCCTTCAAATCAAATCAAATCAACTTTATTTCATCCAGGGTAGTCACGTCAGTTCAGAGGAACTACATGGTATCAACGTGAGCTAGCCCTGAATACTAACTAATTACTAAATAAATTTAAATTTTGTTTTTTTGAGATTATATGAAGATTTTACAAAATATAATATAATAAATAATCGTACAGTTTACAATAATTAATTATAGAATCTATGCTAGAAAGATCATATTATGGATTTCTAAAGTGCTCTATGACTCTCTTCCTAAAGTTTATGAAAACGTTTTCTTCCCGAATACGAAAAGCAAACTGTTAAAAAATTGTGGGTCTCTAGCATAAAAGCCCTTACTCCTAAATACCAATTTAACTTTAAGTATATCACATTTATGCACGCAGTTTTTCGTTATTCTGCAAGGATTTGATAAGTCGGATGATATTTTCGAAAGAAAGGTGGAACTCTGATTGTTTAAACATTTAAAAACTAAAATGGCAGTATGCATTTTTCTGCGGGAAATTAGCGATGTAAAGTTCGTATAACTGATACATGTCTATGATTTTTTCTGCTCTTGTTTGTAGTTTTTTCTAGTTTGTGTTAGTGCTGTGTCGTTGAGAGTGTCCCAAACAACGTCACAGTAGTCAAAGACCGGCAGTACCATATAGCCGTATAGACTTTATTAATAGCAGCATATAACTAGTTAGGAACGGCTGCATGACTTCTGGTCATACTGACCTAACCGTTTTCCTACTTTCATGTTCAGGCGACTATTTACATGTTCAATAAATGATAAACCTCGTTCTAAGTAGATACCGAGATGCCACATTTTTCTTGCAGTTCAATTCTTAGATCATCGTTCTGCAGTGAAAAGCGTGCAAATGTTCCAAACAGAACAGATTTCGTTTTATCCTTATGGATATGCATATGTAGCATATTATCTTAAACCTTATAGTAATTTATTAATTTAAACCACTTATCTACCTTTGGCCGAATCATCAGACACTGTCCCTGTAGTGTTGAATTTTGCATACTTCGGCACTACATTTATAGGATCTCAGAGTTCGATGGAACAGATGGAAGGTACTTAACCCACCTTTTCCGATATTTTCAGGTTATAGCTTTCGTGTCGTGCAGCGTGATAAGAAACACTTTCATTACATGTCACAAAAAGTGACATTAATTAGATTATTTTAATTACCTTTTCAATCAAGCAACAAATATTAGCTTGCAAAGCTCAAGTTGCACCAATGGGCAATGGATAGCGTGTATATATAATAATGAAGAGGGAAAACAGCGTCAAGTTGAAAAAGACGTGGATTTATTTCATGGGATTAGCTATGTATGTTCTTAGGACCTAAAATGGATTTATGTATCTTAAAAGATATAGGACGACATCACAAGAGAGAAGACGTCGTAAGGTTAGCGACTTAGCGTAGTCCTGGTGGTCATGCAACTAGTTATGCCGATTAAACAATTATAATTTATTTCTCATTTCTTTAAAGAAAGTAAAATAGGAGACCACTAGGAAAAGTTGTGTGTGTTAACGTGTTGCAAGCTATCTTTGCATTTCCCAAAATGACTTTTTTTTGGGGGGGGGCCTTATATATTAGTTGTGTATGCTAAAGAGTATTGACGTTTTAAATAGTGATGCTGTGATTGCGCGAAAACATAAAAGGGAATTGGTCTTCTTGATTAGGCTTGTAAAAAGATGTACTATAAATATATAACAAGTAAATTAAGGATATCAGCTAGCTTACTTATAAAACGAAGTCGGTACTTCGTGCTTAATTGAAGCCTTAATTGGCATATATACAGTATGAGCGTCTTTTTGTTGGTACATGAATGTCCATGAATGATATAAGTGACCGTGATATGATGACTTTACATTCACAGGATTTTGTACATTTTAAGGAAAACATTTAAGGAGTGCATTTTAAGGAGTGCATTTTAAGGAGTGCATTTTAAGGAGTGCATTTTAAGGAGTGCATTTTAAGGAGTGCATTTTAAGGAGTGCATTCAGATTTTTCAGTACCAATATATCATATCGTCATTATTATTATCTGTATTCTGCAATATACCTTACAATTACTGCGTGCTGTGTTTTATATTTGCCGTTCAAACTGTTTTATGGTTGGTTTAATTTAAGTAGGTACTTGACCTTTTACTATTATGCTATTAAATCCATTGTGACCGCATTAGTTCAGTCATTATGCAAAATATTATAGTGACAATAATTTAACAATCAGCACCCTGCATGCACCCAGCATGCAGTGGACGACCGATTTTTGACAGAAATGTGTCCACAATATCAAACAAGTCATACTGAGCCCGTCTGAGCCACAGGCTATAATTGAGACAATAGCACTCGCGACAAGTTCGATCAACACAGATAAATGAGATAATGTACGTATATATAGTTCTAGCTGTTGTGTCTTAGCGTTGCATACTCAAACTGTGATCGCTAAATCCCCACTACATAGCTATTATCAGCTCGCGAGTTCATGTTCTTTTTTCAAACTTTGGATTGTGCTATTAAGTGTTCTTGGCTGGCTATTTTCATGCATAATCTTATTATACCACGCTAATTAATTTAATTTCCTTTTTGAAATTATGAATCACGAAAATATTGTCAACAAATCCTACGCAAAATTTCTTACATAGACTATAGGAACTATATGCATGCTTCGTATGTGTACTATACTTTTAGTTTTAGGCCTGATAACTATTATATATTGCGCATAGTCGCGTTTACAGTAGAGACCTTATATACGTAAGTCTCAGGTCGGCTGTGTTATGTAAAACTGATATCGCCGCATGTCTCCGGTAACAGATTGTCTTTAGACTTAGTGCAAACCACTTTAGCGTCTTTGATTTTGTTAGTATGGAAATCCATAAAATTTGAAACGTTTATAAACACCAAAGTGATATATTTTGTGTGTGCATGCGTCTGCATGCATCTGGATAAATGCGTGGTTGTTAATTCTGGATCAGTGCACTGATGTTTTAGTGTATATTATTGTTCACTGCTTTATACCATTCTGTACAGATCCGTTGAAACGGTCGCTGAATATCGTTTAAATGGTTTCTTAATTCCGTTCGAACGGTTTGTTAAAGCCGTTTGTAGAGCCGTTAAATTTTTTGTCTTCATCCGTTCGTATTTTTTACTCAAAACGTCTAAAACGTTTTGAGGATCCGTTGAAACGATTTAACAAAGCGTTTACTATCCGTCCGTTATCCGTTTTTTTGCCCGTTTTAATGCAAAATCGTTAACGTATGTTTTCCCATGGAAGGTCACATTTTGAGTTATGTAATTTTAAGCGCGTTGGACGTAAACAACAAATCTTGTCTACAACCTTGGGAAGGTGCCGGTATCGCTTTCTAAAATTCTCAGTTTTGGCTCTATCTCTATAAAATCACAAGGACGTTAATGTTAGGGGCGGACCATTAGAAAAGTGATGGGGGGGGGGATTTTCAACGTGCACGATTTTTAAAATTTTTTGCTGTGTCGTTTATTTTTTTTTAAATAATCCCTTGCTCGAATTTTTTTTTCCAAAAACTGTTGGAGCGGGGGGCGGGGGAGGGGTGGGGGAGGTGAAAAAAAATTTTTCGGAAAAAAGGGTCAAAAATATTTTTTTTCGGATTAGCATCAGTTCAGTTAAGATTTAAAACACATTTTCCCCAAAAAAATTTTCTTAAAACATGATTAAAACGCTTATTTTCCAAATTTGGGGGACACCCTAATATAGGCCCTGTTTGGCCCTGTCAACTTATAATTTTCCCTATTGAAAAGCTAGTCTCTGCACGAATATTTTTTTCAGACATTTCTTCTACTCGATTTTTATTTTTGCTTTCCCCCCCCCCCCAATCACTTTTCTAATGGTCCGCCCCTTAAGTCTTTGCGCTATGTCTCTGGGCTAAGAAATAATTCCTTAATTGGCATGCGATCCAATTGTTTTATACCACGATGTAGAACGGTAATCTTATGTAATGGGTCAGCATTCAAATTTCCGACACAGTTTCCGAGATGTAATTCAAGAGGTAACTTATCAATGCATTTGAACTATTATATCAGTTGGTGTAATTTTGCGCGATAAGCGAATATTATTGGGAAATTAAAAGGGCTTCCATACACGTTGAAATCACCAAATAAACAGCTCATGCACACATTTCTCTACTTCGTCGTAAGTTTACAGAGCGGGTTTTATACTTTTGTACTGTTCTTTGTCTTTAATGTGTACAAATATTCTTTTAGTTTAAGGTTATTTATGATTGATCCTGTCGTAAGTCTTCAACCAGCAACACACCGACAATATTTCATGTTAAGCATGGCGCACACGATGCGATTTTAGTCGGCCGATAAAAATCGTTTGACTAAAACTAACTGACAAAATCGTTGTGTGTGCGGTGTCATTTTTAACCGATTTTTGTTGCTCGATTTTAATCGGACAACATCAAAACGTTTTGATATTATACGATTTTTATTGGTGGAATTTTAAGTATAACCAATCAGATTTCATGCTGTGATCACGTGCTTGTATTTATTTGGCAACATGGCGGCTACAGTTCAGGGAGCATATTTTTTTCGTAATCGGGCGTGTGCGGAGTATACCGATGTATATCGGTATGTCAAACGATTTTTATCGGCCGACTAAAATCGCATCGTGTGCGCCAGGCTTTAGCGTTGTCTTTGCTGTTACGTTGGCTTTGCGTTACTTTTGTTTTAAATACCATGATTGCGTTAAACGAGTTATTTATCAGGCCAGTGACATAGTCAAAATACTTAGCATTAACGTCCTTGTGATTTTATAGAGATATCGCTAGAACTGTGCTTGTTAGATAGCGTTATCTGTACCTTCCCAAAGTTGTAAACAAGATATGTTGCTTACGTCCAACACGCATAAGATTACATAACTCAAACTGATTCGAGCGAAACGATCGACTAGTTAATAGAAATTGGTCCTTTTGAGTGACATAATCGTGTATCGTCATCGATCCGTGTCGTTGAACAATGAGAAATTAGTGAACATAAAATAGCAGTTTGTAAGAAAACGCAAGGCCTACGGAGCGGGAACTGTTCGGATTTGAACTCAGCGTGTTCAAAAGTGCTAGTTCCCGTAAAAATATTTCAGTTCCACCACATGCACTACGAAAGTGAACGATATCAGGACGCAGCAAACGGCCTATATAAGTTTTTCTTCTTTAGAATCAGTAAATCATTCATTTTAAATTAATTTCGAGATGTTATAAAGCTTTCGAAGGCTTGTTTTCCACGAAATGTTTAGAAGACCACTTTCTTTTAGGTCCAGAGATGGAATAAACGTTGTCGGCATTTGTACATTGTCTAATCATATAGCGATTAGCGACTTGTCTGATATTCAAACGTGTCAAAATACTCGCATGTTTATGTCGTTCTACTTAACTATTAGTCGTGTAGTGATCTTTGGAATCGGCCAAAGATAGTCTCCCCTTTTCTACAGTTGAGACCTCCTTTTAATGTTCTCTTAAACGTGTGCTAAATTGGTGTTTTGACTGACCTAGATATTTTCTCACAGTTACCGCATAGTATACAATACAAATATGATATCTGATACTATAGGGAACTGGAGCGCAAATTCCGAAAACATTACCAAAAGTTGGCTACAGGAAGGTCTGAAACCTCGCTGTATAACACGCGATTTAACATGGGGGACACCTGTGCCACTTGAAGGCTTTACAGATAAAGTGTTCTACGTTTGGTTTGATGCACCGATTGGGTAAGAGATTTACTATATGTCACCTTGAATAATGCCTTGCATGTTTTTGAACAACTCGTATACAATAAAACAAAAAATAACTCGTATATAATAACTTAATTTACTAATATTTTTAATGATAGGTTGTTTTTCATCCCTTCCTCTTATTCGCTTATTTGAATATTGTAACCGTTTGAAACTATTTGTATATATATAATACACGCTTGTAAATAAGTCTAAATGCTCTGAACAGCCTCGTACCCAGGCGCTATATGTTGTTCTATGGCTTGCGCGGCCTTTGCGTGTGCCGCGTGGATTAATTTGATCGATTTCGCCGTCCCACGTGCGTTTAATGGCGTAAACAAACCAAAGCGCCTGGGTACGAGGCAGTGCTCTGAAGATGTCGTGAACTGACAGTGAACGATACAACGAAACGTTAGCCAATAAATTTTATATTTTTGTTATGTCTTGTCTGAAAGTCATTTGCTGGGCTTTAATGGACCTATTAATACCTAGACAAACATTTCACCACAGCTTGAAAGAGCATCACAAAATGAGTAATATTCCGAAGTTTCGTTGCAAAATGTTGTAAAATGCGGATAATATAGCCCTGCGAAGTTTGTCGTTTTTCAGTCATTTTGTATTACGCGCGGGAAATTGATACCTTTTCAGAAAGCGGTATCAATTTCCCGTGCGTAATACAAAATGACTGAAAAACGGCAAACTTCGCAGGGCTTATTATCCGCATTTTACAACATTTCGCAACGAAACTTCGGATATGATCGAATATTACTAATTTTCTGATGCTCTTTCAAGCTGTGGTGAAATGTTTGTCTAGACTTGTCTAGATCAAAATTTTGTTCATTAGGGACCCGGTGTATCAATCGCTATTGTTTTAAAACTCGTATACAATATATCGTACATATATAGATATCGATTCGGAGTACATATTTTCTTATGTTTCTCAACACACCTGAGAATAATGTGTTGATTCCACCTTTTTGAACCTTGCAGATATCTATCAATCACAGCTAACTACACGGACCAATGGGAAAAGTGGTGGAAGAATCCTGAGCATGTCAGTTTATACCAGTTCATGGCGAAAGACAATGTGCCATTTCATACAGTTGTATTTCCAGCAACATTACTGGGAACCAAGGAACCTTACACCCTACTCAACAGTATTAATGCCACAGGTGAGATGAATTTCGTTTCTGCACATAACTGATCTGAAAACTAGGATACGAAAGAGAGAGAAAAGTGAGGTCATGGATAAGCAATTTCTATTCAGACAATACGTGTCCTTTCTAATCCTTGATCAGAAATTCTAAGATCCTCTTGTAACAAGTCAGCAACACCATGCATCCTAGTAGATTTGTGGTGGTAACCATTCCATTAACTTTGTTCGTGCATAGCAGGTGCAATACGCTGCCCTAGGTTTGCAATTATAACTAAGTATGAAAACTGTGGCGTTGAATTGAACCAGATAGGTAATATATATAGTACATGCGTTCATGATTGTGGTTGTAATTAGGAGTTCAGTACATTTTTTAACTTCTAAGTCTTTTACTAATTTTTTCCTGTCTCCTTAATTCTTCTTAGTTGTTCTTAATGTCCGGCACTGATATCTACTGCTTATCGTCTGCAGGGAAAGCAAGCATTCATTAATTTTTTCTATATAACACAGATGAAATAATTAAGTCCTCCCTACCCGCAATCAGCATGCATTAAATAATTATTTAATGTATGCAATTAATGCAAATAACAAGACAATATAATAATTATTTTCTATGATTGTAGAGTACTTGAATTACGAAGACGGAAAGTTCTCCAAAAGTCGTGGCGTAGGTGTGTTTGGTAACGATGCCAAGGATACAGGAATACCTTCGGATATTTGGAGATTCTATTTGCTGCAAACTAGACCTGAATCACAAGTACGTTAATGTTAAGTACACTCGAATTTAGTTGGTTCGCATTTAATTAACATTACTTCAATTACTTTTATTGCCTAATCTTGGACCAGTTGTGATTGCAATTGGCAGATTATCTGCCCAGATGGAGGCAGGGGTTACGCCGCACTCCAAAGATACTCACCTCCAGAAAAAGTGATTAATTAGCATTCTTCGATAAAATCTTCATTATTTTGGTGCAAACTCCTGTTCCCAAAAAATCTGCAACTCACTATCAGATCTCACTAGTCCCTGCCGTTCTAGGTAAATAGTTTTAACTATTTACCTACAACGGCAGGGACTAGTGAGATCTGATAGTAGGTTGCAGTATTACTAAAAATACTGCTTTGGCAAGCAATCCAGTCCAAGCAACGAGCTCGCATAATTTCATTCTAAGTATGTGTTATATAATTACCAATTCATCCTGTCAGTCAGTAATCACGGTTCTTTTCTCTAGCCAATTTATTTAGGGCGCGTCGCGTGGGGAGGTGGGGGGACTGGGGGCGGGATGCTGGACAAGCAACCGAATAGGCGAACCGCACTCTGAACCCAATAAAGACCAGCAGCGCAGCGCGCTGCCGCTCCACACCTTGCCTTGTAGTTTTTTTGCTACAATGTACCGGATGGGTTAAATAAATGTAAATCCACGAAAGCTCTACACCACACAAGAGATTCAAGAGATCAGCCTGCATTCACGATATAAATACTAACTAGGTTACCTGCAAGGTAGGGATTGCTGCGGGCATTAAAAGCAAATAGAACTACAGTAAAAAGCACAAATTATATCAAGCACAGTGATTACTCGCAGCGTCTAGTGAGCTGTGAATGGAACTGAGAAGAAGCAATATATATTGAAATAGCAAGTGTCATGCAAGTGTCAAGAGTCATGCAAGCAAAGACCAGGGGTTAAAGGGCAATCAGGGGTGACATACATTAAACATGTGCGTCTCATTGACATACAGGAAATTAAGGATCAGATTTCATATCAAGTCTGTTTAATGCTAAGCGCATCTACCACATTATATAGACTATATACACAGATTTATCACACTAAGAAACCAAAACTTGATAAAAATATAGAACTGACAGTGGCCAAAGTCCAAAACAAATGTAAGCGTAAGTTGCGTAACATTAGACTTGAAAAAGCTTTAGAAATTCGATAAAGATTCGAAGACTCGAGGGAGTTTAAAATTTGTGTTCTGCGCATAGAAAGCGCGCACGACCACAATTCCATGCGCTTAATAAAATTTAGTTCAAAACCCCCTCTCTGCATATATTAGGCTGCTGCTACGCTCGCTCGCTTCAGGCTCGCTCGCTCCGCAGCAATTATAATACAGTACCTCAAACGTTTAAAAGTATCATACTTTAAGAATAACAAATTTAATTTTTGTAACACCCTCGCCCTTGCTCCCCTATTTGCCAGCAGCGGTATGCAATACTGTTTGGTCCGCCATAAATCTACCACGGCATGTTGTACTATACTGGTAAGGTTTTCTGGGGCTTATGTAAACAACCTCTAATTAAAATATCGCTTGCTTTTCAGGACACTGTATTTTCTTGGGCGGAATTTGCTATGAGGAACAACACAGAGTTGCTGAACAATTTGGGAAACTTCGTCAACAGGTTAGCTCTTACACTCCAAGTCTCCAACTGTTTGTATGGCAATATAGTTCAATTGCAAAATACCGAATATAGTGAAAGCCTAAGGATATCTAATTACAGTTATTTTAACTTAATGTGGCCTTATTTTCCTTCCTAATATTTTTCTTCCTAATATTTTTCTTTCCATAACATGCAGAGCTCTGGTGTTTTTGAACAACAACTTCAATAAGAAGATGCCATCAATAATATTGAATGATGAAGACAAGAAACTGATTGCTTTGGTCAACCGCGAGTTGAAACAATATATCCAGTTGATGGATCTCATCAAGTAAGCAGCTCTGACTTGCATATAATTATAGCATAGTTAATGATAGGGTCTATTTAGGGTACGGCGTATAATATAATAGCCTCAGATACTTTCCACGAGCGATTCACTTCAGTAATTGGCGGCTTAGCTGATACTCAGTTAAATCATAAATAGAACATCGTCACTCGTGGAAGTCAAAAGTGAAGGCTAACAAAAAATGCAGAAGGTCCGTTTGCGTCTTAATATTGGCCTAAATTTTCCAAATTTTATCGGGGGAGTATACTCCTTCATCCTTCTATACCAGATTTAGACCTGACGTTCCATTGTTTTGCCGTCAATGTGCGACCATGCATATATACACGCGCTATATTTGGATTCAGAATTAAAAAGATCAGACCCCTCCCCTCGCATAGTGTTCACCACCGCTTCTTGGTGATGCAAATTAGATTTAAAAAATCACATTGTTTGGACCCTTACACCTCGATCCATGGGTGTTTTTTTTTATAAAGACGCTTTCAAATAAACGAGTTGAGCAGTAAACATACATTGGCTTTCTTTAATCCATGCAATGCCATCACCAAATATTATATCCGTTAATATCACCTTACAATTCAACTATTCACGGATCTTTTTAGAATGAGAGATGGTTTAAAAGTTGTGCTGAATATTTCTAAGCTTGGTAATCAATATATTCAGGCCAATAAACCTTGGGTATTGGTCAAGGGAAATGATGATGAAAGGTATGGGCATCAGTTATTTTTAAATGAATGTGTGGTGCACTTTCATCACATTCATTTAAAGCATTTATAGTTTCGTAGATCGTTTTCGTACCAACCACAGGTTCAAACATAATACATTGATGATTTAAATGTTTATATATTTCCACCCCTTGTCGATGTTTTTCTTCATGTTTAAATATTTTATTTCAGGGCAAAGGCTGGCAATGTGATTGGTCTTGCATGTAACCTGACAAGTTTATTGTCTGTTCTCATTCATCCTTTCATGCCAGGTGTTAGTGCAGAAATCCGAAAACAACTTCAGGTATATATATATATATATATATATATATACAAGATTGCTGAAAATAGCAGTAGTACTAATAGGCCATATTGAAATCATACACAATGATTTCTCCTTGAATTTTGAGTCGGGTTAATTCGGTAAATTTAGATTAATCTGTCCACAACCACCATACTGAATTAACCACAACGAAACACGATTACGTACGCTAATAAACTCCTGATTTTCTTTTAAATTTATTTAAGGAAGAGAAAGTTGTGTTGGTGTTGTGTGGGAAACCCAGTTTCTAACACTACAAAAATGCAGAATTGCAAGTAACACTACAAAAATGCAGAATTGCAAGTAAATGTACAATTGCAAGTAACACTACAAAAATGCAGAATTGCAAGTAAATGTACAGTCAATTGCAATTGTACAAAAATGCAGAATTGCAAGTAACACTACAAAAATGCAGAATTGCAAGTAAATGCAGAATTGCAAGTAAAATGACGTAATCATACTAATATGATGTTTAACGAACCAGTCACGTATAGGTCTAAAACTCTTTCCTCCGCAGAGGCTTTAGTTGCATGGTTATGATTACGATTAGTATTGAGATACATTTCACTACACTTTACATGGCGGATCTTGGAACACGAGCGGAGGCGCTAGTGAAATATTAATGTATCTGAATACTGATCGTAATCATAGTCAATTAAAGCCTCTGCGGAGGAGAGAGGGACTAAAACCACTTTTGCATGCATCGAGCTCGACGTATGAAATACTCATTTTTTACATTCATTTTAAAAGTACGTAATAAAGTTAATTCCTGAAAACATAATATCTCATTTTAAATTTAAACAAACTTTATTTTAGGTTTCTGACGAACATTGTGTCATTGTTGATTCATTTGTACCACATCTGGAAACTGGTCACATTATTGGCGAGGTATGAGGAACGTACTTTCAAATCTTTATAAATAAATAATGTATTCATTGAATATCTTAGTAACTAAACTGAGAACTGATCTCCATGCAAGTTCTAGACATATATTTATATTTTATACTTACTTTGATATCGCGTTTAAATATCTTTCTTTTATTTCAGCCCAAACCTTTGTTTGAAAAAATGGACAGCAACAAAATGGAAGAATTCCGACAAATTTATTCTGGGCAACAAAGTAATCGAAATAAGGTAATATATATATTATTTGTTATATAGTTAGTGTCAAAGTTCAATTTTTCTGTTTGCCGATTGGTCAAAACCGTATCACGTATATATATTATATATCGTAGAGAGAAGATAAAGTAGGATGATAAACAATAATAAACCAACTATCTCTTTACGTTTATTTCTATTTTCCTATATAAAAAGCATCAATCGATCAACTTTCTGCTAAACTGACTCTCTATATGTATTCCCAACCATACAATCGCTATTCATCAAGAAACCTCTCAAATCATCTATTTGCATCAAAGGTCCCAAAGGAATTCCCTTCTTGACATTAGATCTATATGAAAACGTTTCCTCAATAAATACTACTACTAGGCCTATATCATGTATGTAATTCGAAATAAGCCACATGTTGAAAGTTTCACGTCATGGTAAGTAGTTAGTAATCCACGTCGAAAAACATTTTCTTTTTTAGGGGAAGCCAACAGAAGAAGAAATAAAAGCTCTTGAGGGTGATATTGCAAAACAGGTCAGTATTTTGATTTTTTTAAGAAATTGAATTTAATATTGGCGTAAAGCAAAAATCTCTGAGTAGAACTTTGAACTTAGACAGATGTTAGTTAGTAATTAAAGAACCACTGACATATGCGAATCTCTATAGTATATCATGTGTATATATCATGTGTCAGTGGGTTGAATTGGCGATGTTGTATGATCTGATTTATACATCTGCATGTAGTGATTATTGAAACTGCACATATTTATTTTGAGTTTTCGTTATGAAAAAAATAAGTTAAATGTTATTATTCTAGGGTGATGTTGTACGCCAGCTAAATGCAAATAAAGCTGAGAAATCAACGATCGACGCCGCAGTGGCTAAACTGCTGGATCTTGAAAAGAAATTGAGTCCAGCAACTGGAACCAATCCTAATGAGAAATGACACTTCTGCCAAGAAAATGAAAAAGAGAAAGAATAAATAAATTGATTGATAAAAATAAAACTATATAATGAATGTTTTAAAATAAAATAGAAAAGTTCGATAGGAACATTTCCTTCTTCACTAGGACATTGGCGGTTAGGGCTTCACCTATGACCGACCGTTTAAAGTTTAATTTAGTACTGACAATGCTGAAATAATGCGATTGAAGTGTATTCTGTGCGGTATTAATTACGATATATTACACTCTAGTGCAAGAATAAGCACGATAATTTTTATCCCTTTTCTTTAGCCAACGTCATATAGACATTAACGCATGGGGCTATAAAGCTTTCTGACAAGTTGCATAGACCTTTAAAACGAATTGCACTTATATATAGGGTCATTTTCATTTCATTTCATTTATTCATTTTGTCACACACGACGATGTATAAAATATATACATTTACATTGAGATATAACAATAACAATAACTAGAAAATGCTGTGACAGGAGAAGAAAACAGAAACTAAATTCCAATTGATATTCGACCCCTTAACAATTAATGGATAACGAAACGTACTAAGACAATACACGAACATATCACAGATTACATGCAACTTAACATATAGGATACTGTTAACGAATTTTAGAGTAAAGTTATCTGTGGTGGTATGCATGTAGGTAAACAGTTTGGCTTTGTAATGAGAGTGTAGATGGTGCTTGAAGATTTGTAGGGAATGGGCGGCTTTGATGTTCGGTTGTAGATTGTTCCAGAGGATGATGGTGCGTGGGAATGTAGCCTACTTTTTCTTGCACAAGTTTCATAATGTGAACTATAAGCCTTAAGTGTTAATGGCATTTCGACCATTCCTTGGAAAAACCTGCAATGGATCATTGAGTGGACCATCAAAGTAATCAGGATACGTACTTCCACTACCTAAAATGTTCTATTAGTATAGGTGATAGGATGGTATCGAGCCAATTTGGATAAAACTTGCACGAGTGAGTTTTTCAAAGAACATCAAAATAGCTCGAGTCCGAAGGACGATTCCCATTTGAGGTCTTTGAAGAAGTCACGAGTGAAGCCCACGTTCAGCAAAATTTTCCCGCCATATGACGTCATAGAAATAGTTGTTTGTGATTCAGCAACGTCATAGAGGGAGGTGGTGCCACCTAGAATGGAACTACGATTTATTTTTGCGCATCATTTGAATAATAATGAGGTGGTGCTACCTTTCGGAATAATACTGATCTGGAGTCGGACGTCTTCGAAGACATAAGAGAGGATGGCTCCACCTTTACTGCTGAGGTAGTGCCACCTTGACAACTAGGGGGGCATTGCCTCGGATGTATTTTTTTGAATAATGATGATCGAGGTTGCGACACTTCGGATGTATTTTTGAATGATCATGAGGTTGTGTCAAAGTGTTTGAAATTAACGCTTGATTGGTTCAATTTACACGAACGTAATAAGTTGAGAGTATAATTTCGAGGGAGCAAATTTTATTTTTAAGTTATAGAGATGGAGTATTTGCACGGAAAACCTGCTTCAAACACAACCACGAGAAAGGGTTCCTTCTGGTTTTGTGGATAGAAGCCGAGCTGTGGATTCCTTTGTTCAGAGGAAGAGGATGGATATCTATTTCAAACAGCATTGACAGCATGGAGAGCCATCGATTTGAAGCAACCGATATGCGAAAGTTATCGAAAGCCAGCAAAGTTTTGTGTGGTCAAGGACATGATGAAAGATACTTACTTCAGAACCATCCTCAGAGATACGAAAAAGATACTTACGGCAGACCTTATTTTACGTGTGCAAGCCGTGAAAATCTCTGTACCCTTTAGATGTGAGCATGCTCGTCTGCAGACGAGAAAGAAGTCGAGAAACTGAACTGTTATCGCAACGAACCGTGTGTCATGAAGAAAGTGAAAAAAGAAGGCCCTACACCGATCGAAAGTTCTTTTGCTGCTGCAACGGAAACCAGTGTGATTATTTCGAATGGGGACCTGAAGAGCCATCAAAACTGCCTCGTGCTGAAGCGCCTAATTCGTGCCGTTGTTCTGCACCCGCTATTATCCCAATTCTCAGTAGAACTGAAACATTTATAAATAGTTTAAACATTTAACGTATAGTAAAAACTATTTTGTATTATTATAAGATTTTTTGAATACATATTTGAAACGTTTACACGTTCATTTACTGTTGTTGCGTTAAGCGCGAAAGATGACATGAATTTGAGAAAATTATTCCACCGTGAGCGCTACGAAGCGCTGTGCCGCTGTACAGTCAAGTGATTTTGGATGTTAATCCTGAGGAGATGCATGTCGTTTTTAACACGATCAATGTGACTAATTTCGGCCGTGACATAGCTTATTTAATTAACACTGGTTTATTTGATGCAAGACTCGGAAGATGCTACACGTACAGCTGTTTGTTTGGTTACTACACCTCTTAAGAGCTTTGACCTTAGCGCGTTTCGGAGCGAAGAAAGTTTTTTCCATAGAGTGATTTCTAGGATTGGACATATTTTTAAGTTATAAAATAAACGGACACGTGAAATAAAAACGCAGTAAGTGTTTTGCACGTGAACACGATGGACGTGAGATTTAAAACGCCTGCAAATTTTTATATTTGCGGGCAGTCAGAGTGGGAAATCCTGTTTGGCTCGTGATATGTTACGGCATGTAGAGGAACTGTTTAATCCCGTGCCAACCAAAATAATATACTGTTATGGCGTAAATAAACTAGGGATCCAAGGATAGTGCAAAGTCTCAAATTGAGAAAGACAGTTTAAATTAAGACACTGCAAGTGTATGGGGGCACAAAGTTGAAAACACGGAGTCTTATTAAAATAGAATCTTTGGACAAAATAAACAACAAACGGGAAACGCAGAGTCTCATTAAAATCGAGTAGGAAAATTAAAATCGAAATAGGAAAATAAACTATGTTTTAACAGACTCCGTACTCCGCATTCCATACTCCGCACTCCGTCATTTCCAACATGCCTTCTGCATCCTATAATCATTTCTATATTTAGAGAGCCAAACGCGCACGTGCTGTATGTGTGCCTTCAGCAATGCACAGAGTATTACAAGTTTCTTTGGTTTCAGTGTACTGAGAGTTTAAGTGCAGCCATCTATATTACGTGGTGTGGCACTTTATACAGCAATTTTTTTTAATTATTGCGTAAATCTCAAAGATTTTCTCAATATTTACGCCCTGAAATGTTTATACATTTGAAAACTATGGATCCAAGGATAGTGTAAAGTTTCAAATTGAGAAAAACACGGCAAGAACTGTATAGGGTCGCCGACAAGGCACGTTAGGCAAAGCAGGCATGTTAATAAAAAATGTGGATTAGAACAACGTTTTTACGAGATAAACAATTCCTTGTCACTCCCTTCGTAACTGGTTTATTAAACGTTGAATTGCAAGAGCTCTTATTTGGGCATGAGGACTTTCTGTTTTGTAAAGCTGATGGCTTACACTACGAAATAAACTGTTAGCATAGGCATTTCATCTCATTATCTATTCGATCGGTTTTTAATGCGTTTGGCACATGAGTATATAGCGCGACGTTTGAAACAAGCCTAACACATCGGAAACGTCGTGCCTCGTGGAACTGACACAATTTAGTATTGTGATGCTACACGCGACAACTCGAAATGTAAATTGTTTCACCAACAACCAAATGTTTTATATTCTAAACCTACATTTGCCTTGGAGCTGTCGCTGAAAGTATCTCCACGAGGCTACTAATATACTAAACTTATTTAATTAAAACCATGATTATCCCCATCCTTTCAGCGCCCATATTGCACATTTGACTATTGTCTCAGTGACATTCTTTAATTGAAATAGCTGTATAATTAGTTAATATGACGTTGCATCCATTACAAAAAACATAAATCAAAAACACTGAAACGTAAAAATGAGGCGAAAAAAATCGCATTTTATCCCCATATCCGTTCCGCATTTTATCCCCATATCGGTTCCGCATCCGCTCCGTTCCGCATCCGCTTCCGCATTCGTTTCACATTAACTAGACTACACAATCACAAGTCTCATTGACCTTTGACTTTATATTCCCAAGATCAGTACCCTGATAGCAGAGCCTGATTTCCCCTCGCGTAGAAAATAAGGCTCTGCCGTTTTTGTGTTTTTGTTCGTCCAAAATTCTGGACGAAGTATACCGGTAACAAACCAGTTCTAACCGGTTTTGAATGCGCGCGCCTTCGTTTTGTATGTAAACCGATGACTACAATTTGAGCCCGCTATATATTTACAAAATTTAAAACTTTATACTTTATAACCGAAATTCGGCTGACAATAATTTAAATATACTGAAAAGTGACGTAGGATAAAATAAACTAGCAAGTTAGCAATTGTAAAAAATATTTTAATATAGTAATAGTTTGATTTCACAACTGACAAGTGACAAAACTATCGATTTGAAAATGTTTAATTTCTGTATTGTTTATATTGTCGTAATTGTACGGCATATTGTAAACACTTGACTGGACTTTGGACTGGACTTTGGACTATGAACTTTGGACTATGGACTTTGGACTTTCGATTTTGAAATTATATCCAGTTTTAGATTTTCGTATAATTATATTAAAATCTAAACAGAGAACGAACATTTGCTGCTGAAAAGCGTGCTACACTGCATGCACATGCATGATATAATATACAAGGTAAAAAATACTCAGTATCAGTTATATAGGTATACCAGCAGTGCAATTTCATACGGATATAGCCTGTAGGATAGCATGCAGGATTATCCAATATTCAGGGATTTAATATTTAAATTTTATATAATATTTGTATTTATAGTATGCATAGTACAGTTTATACTGCAGAACTTCTTCTTTATCATATAGATAATAGATTAATTGTCAGAAACAATTGTGACACAAATATATTAACTGTACAAGCGATTATTATTGCGCCTATTGAGTATTGTATTATGTATATCTATTGACTGTTCATCTTTGCATAATAGTTTATAGAGTGTATCTAAAAGTCGAGGGTCGAGAGTCGTCAGTATAGGTCGAGAGTCGAGAGTAAAAGTCGAGAGTCGAGAGTAAAAGTCGAGAGTAAAAGTCGAGAGTCGAGAGTAAAAAGTCGAGAGTAAAAAGTCGAGAGTCGAGAGCAAAAAGTCGAGAGTCGATCGAGAGTAAAAAGTCGAGAGTCGATCGAGAGTAAAAAGTCGAAAGTCGGCAAATGTCATCAGAAACAACAAAGTCAAAATATTTTTAACCACGTTTAACACAATCTATATATAGCTTTACATAGCCATTCCGTAACAAGTACCAACGGCTGAAATACAAACTTTCCAATAAATATTGCCACAACAGTCAAAAGTAATAACGTGAACAAAAAAGATTGGCTAAGAAAATAATATTGCATTTGATGCCTCAATCTTGCTAAATGTTTTCACATGTCATTACAGCTATTCTAACTGACACATAAACTCCGCTGAATTTTGACAGCCATCTCCAGGCTTGTAACTAAAATGTCACTTATTCATTAACGTACGTTTATATCAAACGAGAGAGAGCGTATTAAGAAATCCACGTTGATCACAATCTAACGATTCATACAATTGTGAATTCATAAATGGCAGTAAAAATAGGATTCTTTTGTCGTATGTGTGACTCTATCCGTGGTAATATGTCTCGCACGTGTTGTAAAGTCAGGGATGCCGGATGTTGCTGAGGGCAAGGGGTATAAAAGGGCACCAATGAAAATGAAAGGGCGTCATGATCTTACATTCGTGTCGACCTCCCTCTAATCTCCCTCCCCATCACCAATTTTTTTCGGACCGAATACAATTATTTAGGCACAATTCCTCCGTAATTTCTCGCCAAAAATTCCATAAGTAATGCTTTCCGTTCCACCTTTCGCCAAATAGATAACAACTTTGCCGAATTCCTGACGACTGAGGAGTGGAACCGCCCCACCCCACACACACATTCTCGAACGACGTTGTCGTAAAAGACGAGGACCAGGTTTGTTTGGTTGAATATTATTGTGTATAAAACTATTACAAAGCGTTGTGTTTCGAGTTTTTCTAAAACTATATAAAAGTGCGCCAAAACAACTGTCATGTGACCGAGGCACAGCTAACCCAAAACTAGCCTAGAAATATGAATGTTAATAAGATAGGTTTAAAGTTAGTAATCTAATCTAGCATTATTCAACATCCTCCGGGGCCGGGGAAAGTTCTTCGACCCATTTTGAAATTTTGTTTCTTGCTCTTAGAGCCGCCGCTCTCTTTGGTCGTGAAGAATTGTTTTCAGCAACTGTTCGCGTGTCGGTTTCTTCCGCGCCATTCGATTGTTTCTGTTGTTCTTTGATAATTTCTGCGGAGATCTCTAACGGGTATAATTTGGTGATTGGTCTGTTCGTGCGACCATTTTTTGTGCGGATGTTTGCGGCTCGCACTAATCCATCGTTTCCTCGAATAAGTTCTTCTATGATTGCTAATTTCCATATGTTTCTGGGTTTATCATCGTGGACCATAACTAGTTCATCTTTCTTTATCGTTTGCTCGGGAATATAATGAGCTTTATCTGAGTGTTGAGTTGTTTGAACTTTCTCTATAAATCCACGACTTTCATACTCGGTGATGATATTACTATATGTCTGGAGTAGTTCCGGTGTTTGTTTGAGGCGACATGCCGTCGATCTTGTTCTCCTTTCGCATACCGTGTAGTTAGATTGGAGAGGTGGGTGTTCTGGTTTCCACGGAAATCTTGTTATGTAACTGCCATTCGTGTCACGGCTGATGAATGATTGTTGATACTGTTCGAGAAATTGTTTATGAGGATCATTTTCAGTTGGTGGTGTTATTCCCAATGACTCTAGAGACCAAAATCGTTGTAGGTTGTATTCATCTGAGGATATCTGGAGAAAATTTGCAATCGAATGTACTGGTTGGTCAGTTTTTAGCGGACCTGATAGTAGATAACCAACTTTGGATTTCATGGCAGTAGGCCCATTTCCACGGATGACTTGGTCTTCGATGATGTCCCAGTATTGGTCGGCTCCAACGAGGAGGGAAATTTCAAAATTCTCATCATTTGTTACAGGGTGCGCAAGTTGAAGGTTCTTCAGATGTGGGATGTTGTTGATATGGTGATGTGAACGAAGTTGAAGTGGTGTTGCTATTTGTTCAACAATTAGTACGCGTAGTGGGATTTCATCATTGGTAATGGTCTTAAGGTTGATGACTGTGGACTCGAGGGACCTTGCAGCTGAAGTTTGAGCACCAAAGCCAGATACACTGATAAATTCTCTTTCTGTGGGTTGTAGTTGCAAGCGGGTTGCTAAATCTTTGGTAATAAATGATCTTTGTGCTCCTTCGTCAAAGAGAATGTTTGCTTCACAGTAGGTGGTCTGATTACCAACTGTTGCTATGGCTGTTTTGAGCAAGGTTTCCGTGTGGGTGGGATTAGTCAGGGGGGCAATAGGGGTCATAGTGGTGTGGACAACAGTACCCGAGGTGTTCCCAGTAACGTTTTCAGCTAGTGAAGGTATTTCAGGTTTTGGCTGACCTTCATTACAGAGACTGGTATGGTGTTTTCCCTTACATGAACGACAGCGAAACTTTGACAGGCATGCTGAGGATTTGTGGTGACCCAAACAATTGAAACAAAGTTTCTGTTCCTTTACAATTGCCCAACGTTTTGAACAATCTTTGATTGTAGGACATTCATTAGATGAATGTTCTTTCTTACAATAAACACATTTCTTCGGTTTAGGATGAATGGGTGGAACATATCTTGGTGGTGTTTCATGTCGATTGTGTGATAGGAATGATGATGTGATAGAAGCATGATGATTTTCAGGTGTGATTCTATTTTCAAAACTGGGTATCCCTGCTTCCAGAATTTTAATTTCCTTATAAATGGATTCTCTTAATTGAGAGAATGTCCATTCCGGGTTACTGTGTTCTCGAGCTAAGTTTCGTCTAAGATTATTGGGTAGTTTGCCAAGGATTATGGGGACGAGAAGATCTCCATATGATTCCTGAGATTTACCAAGGGAAGCAAGACCCCTTACATGGGTTTCCATAGAATCATAGAATTGCTGTAGGTTAGTTAGGTCATTGGATGGGTTGGGTAAGTTCAATAGAGCTTGCATGTGATTATTAATAATCTTTTGGGGTTCTCCAAATCTAGTTTTGAGAAGGTCTACAGCTTGTTTATAGTTGTTGTTGGTAAGTGGGAATCCAGCTATAGCTCTGGCAGCATCTCCAGATAATTGGGCTCTTAGATAGTTAAATTTTTGTACCCCTTCAAGATTCGGATTTGAATTTACAGCTACATTAAATGAGTCCCAAAATGTGTTCCAAGTCAAGGGGTTTCCAGAAAAGGTTGGTAAGTTTAATTTGGGTAAACGACTCACATGATTTGGGGTTGGGGTGAGGTGTGGTTGAGATGTTGGTGATACTGGGTTGGATTGATAGTTCATTGGAAGATTACCAGTATTAGTGCTAGTATTCATTGAACTAACACCTTCGGATTCGTTAACAGTGACTGATTGTTCTTGGTTTAATGGTGGGGTTTGCAATGGATTTACTTCGAGTGTTGAGGATGTAGTGGGTTGTGATTCACTGACTTGTTGAGATGGAATGGTTTGTGGTGAATTATCTTGTTGTGGAGGTGTGATAACTTGGGGTGCACTAACTTGTTGTGTAGATGTAATAACTTGGGGTGCATTAACTTGTAGTGGAGATGTAATAACTTGGGGTGCATTAACTTGTAGTGGAGATGTAATAACTTGGGGTGCATTAACTTGTGAGATTACTGGATTCTTAACAGTATTACAAGACAAAACAAAGGCACTTATCTGAGCACTTTTCTCGTTGATTTCACATTCAATATCCTCTGCTTCCATGATTTCTTGTTCGAGTCCGTCGGGATCTTCGACCATAGCTAAGAGTTTTTCGTTCAGTTCGTTCAATACGGTTCTTTTCCTTGCGAGTTGTTCAATAGTAGCGGTGAGCGAAGCAATCTGCATGGCGTTTGGGGCTTCGTCATTCTCCATAATTGTTGTAGCCTTGTTTAAAACCTTTGTCAAATGAGCTCTGTGTCCCTTTCGTGAGCGCTGAATTCTTTGAGTTTCTTCCATCCTGGTCATGGCACCAAATAATGTCGTAAAAGACGAGGACCAGGTTTGTTTGGTTGAATATTATTGTGTATAAAACTATTACAAAGCGTTGTGTTTCGAGTTTTTCTAAAACTATATAAAAGTGCGCCAAAACAACTGTCATGTGACCGAGGCACAGCTAACCCAAAACTAGCCTAGAAATATGAATGTTAATAAGATAGGTTTAAAGTTAGTAATCTAATCTAGCATTATTCAACAGACGTTTAATTCTGTCTGTTGTAAAAGTTTGGTGCACCCGTTTCACCCATATTCTGCACCCCCACTGTACCCACAAAGTTGAAAATGCAAAAGGCAAGGGGTGCACTTGCATCCGCTGCACCCGTGGTTCCGGAATCCCTGTGTAAAGTCCTATAGTATTTATATGTAGCTTTACATATGAGTAAATTTTTCGCGGAAATAGGTGCATGTAAAAGCGGGAAAGATGGACAGTAATATATAAGGAAGCGATAAAACTAGTTATTAGATAATAGTTATTATTGGATGTTGTGGCTAAATTTTTGCGAAAGTTTTTGTTTAATAGCTGGATTATTCCTTTGATTGTATATGCCTCTTGTTTACCAGTTTAATTTCGAGAATTTGAGCATACTAAATTATGTTTCGCAAATATTGTTTGCTTTATGTTCCGATACAGTGAATATATATTGTGTTAAAATACTTTGACTTTGTTGTTTCTGATGACATTTGCAGACTCTCGACTTTTTACTCTCGATCGACTCTCGACTTTTTACTCTCGATCGACTCTCGACTTTTTACTTTCGACTCTCGACTTTTTACTCTCGACTCTCGAATCTCGACTTTTTACTCTCGACTCTCGGCTTTTACTCTCGACTCTCGACTTTTACTCTCGACTCTCGACACTCGGCGGCCATTCAATGAGTGTCTATCACTGATCTGTACTAAGACTGGATAACGCATCTGTCTATAGTATACAAGAGTGAAACCGGAAGTCACCGGCCGCTACCCGATTCAAGGGTCCCACTTTTGTATAGATCCCACTAGGTCCCACAATAGGTCCCACTTGTCGGATTGCTTTACCTCTAAAATACGTACTGATTTAATTTTTGATGATGATGATGTTGCGGAATCCTTATTTATTGAAGTTTGCATACCACATGGTAAAAATATCGTTATTGGAATAATTTATCGACCACCAAATCAAAATGCCAATTCTTTTCTAAGCAAGTATAATGATATAATAGGAAAAATGTCTAATGAAAATAAAACCTGTTATATAATGGGGGATTTTAACCTAAATTTATTGAACTATGACAGTCATTCCTTGACTTGTGAATTTTTAGATGGAATGTATTCAAATATGTTTATTCCACTTATAACTTGTCCAACAAGAATAACAGCTCATACTTCAACATTAATCGATAACATATTTACGAACAACTTTTCTTCCATATCTACAAGTGGCCTGTTATTTACAGATATTTCTGATCACTTGCCTGTGTTTTCAATTAGCTGTGAAGGCATGAATTATTGTGATAATACTAATGAAAAAATTACTTTCAGAGATAAAAACAAAACTAATATAAATAAATTCATTGAGCAATTGGGTAGTATTAACTGGTCCCAACTTAAATACTATGATGACCCTTACAATTCTTACAATACTTTTTTAGCTAAGTATACAGAAATTTATAACAACTGTTTTCCTTTAAGAAGAATAAAGATAAAACATCACAAGATTGACAAGCCTTGGTTATCAAAAGGTTTGCTAAGATCCATAAAAAGGAAAAATAAACTATATAAACAATATATAAGTGACCCAACTCTTGCTAATGAGATATCTTATAAAAGGTATAAAAACAAATTGACCCACTCTTTGAGAATTGCTAAATCATTATATTACACAAAAAGATTAGAAAATGAGAAATCAAACATTAAATCTACTTGGAAGACACTTAATGAAGTCATAAATAAGAAGCGGTCAAAATTGAAATTCCCATCATCATTTAAAGTAGATAATTTTGAAATTTCTGATCCTATAGAAATTGCTAATAGATTTTGTAACTATTTCTCAAATATAGGTCCAAATCTTGCTAAAAGAATACAATCTACTCCTAACTCTCATCTAAATTCTCTTGTAGGCCAATATCCTAATTCCATATTTTTTAACCCGGCAACAGAAAATGAAATCATTGAGATTTCTAAAAGTTTTCAATCAAACAAAACATTTGGATATGACAAACTTCCCATGTTAATAATAAAGCAAACTATAAACATAATTGCTAAACCTCTAACTCATATTATCAACTTATCAATTACTCATGGTATTGTGCCAAATGAAATGAAGATAGCTCGTGTTATTCCCCTGTTTAAATCAGGTGATAGAACATTATTTACAAATTATAGACCAATTTCTATTCTTCCTTGTTTCTCGAAATTTCTGGAAAGAGTTATATATAACCGGATGTTAAATTACCTAAATAAAAATAGTATCTTGTCTGAAAACCAATATGGTTTTAGAAAAAACCATTCCACTTCTTTAGCCCTGGTGGATCTTTATGATAAAATATCACTAGCAATTGATCAAAAACAGTTTGCAGTTGGTGTATTTTTAGACTTATCTAAAGCCTTTGACACTTTAGACCACAATATTCTTTTTGATAAGCTTGACCATTACGGAATTCGTGGATTAGCTTTGGACTGGATGAAGAGTTATTTCTCAAATAGAACACAATTCGTTCAATTTAATGATTACTGTTCCTGTCCTAATAAAATACAATGTGGGGTCCCACAAGGTTCTATCCTTGGTCCGCTGCTCTTTTTAATATATATCAATGATATAATCCATGTGTCAAGTATATTGGAGCTTATCTTATTTGCGGATGATACAAACTTATTTATTTCGAATAAAGACCCAATAGAATTAACTAATATTTTGAATATTGAAATTAGAAAATTGTCAGACTGGTTTAAATCAAATAAGCTTTCATTAAACTTAGAAAAAACAAAATTTATTGTATTTAAACCAAGACAAAAGAAATATAATTATACTTTTCAAATAATCATTAATAATGAATATATTGAGCAAGTGAAAGAAACTGTCTTTTTAGGGGTAGTATTGGATGAGGAATTATCTTGGAAATCACACATTTCGTATGTAGCACGTAAAATGTCTAAATCCATAGGAATAATGTTAAGAGCCAGTTTTTATCTACTTAAGAAATCCTTACTCACTTTGTACTATTCAATTGTTTACCCGTATATCCAATATTGTAATATTGTTTGGGCTTCAACGTATCCAAATAATCTTCATCGTATCAATATACTGCAAAAGCGAGCAATTAGAATTCTAAATAAATGTAAATTTGATGCACATACAGAACCTTTATTTAAGAACTGTTCTGTCCTTAAAGTTAATGATATTCTTCTATTTCAACTGGGTAAATTTATGTACTCTTATCGCAGTGGTCTTTTACCAAATAAATTTAATGACATGTTTCTATCAAATTATCAAGTCCACTCATATAATACAAGGAGTGCGATGGCCATTAGAACTCCATTGTGTCGTACAAATATCCGACAATTTTCTGTAAGATTTCAGGGTCCAAAATTTTTTAACTCACTACCTATTGATATTATTAATATTACTTCTTTTGTTTCTTTTAAAAGAAAATTAAAAAATTATTTATTATAAAATAAATAATTACCTTATACATTAAAATGATTTTTTTTAATTTCTTATACAAATATCTATAACGAAATGAACGAATATTCTTTGTTACTGTGCGCTAATAGAATCAAGTGTGTACCTATTTATAATTGGTGTGAATTTATATTTAATTATTATCCATTAATACCTACTGTACACTCATATTATCCATAATTTATCAAATCTTGAAATGTTATTTGATATTTATATATACTGTACCCTCGATAAATGAGGAAGCTTAAATTTACATAAGCCTTATGGTTTCTTTTTTAAGCTTCCTCGCCACTATTATCATTAATTATTGTAAATAATTTCTTTTTTTCCTTACAAAATGTTGTAATGGTGGCAAATTAAATTATTATTATTATTATTATTAGATTTGTATTACAGATGGTAGTTTTTCGCGTTTTTTGCCTTGGCTACGTTTCTGACCGGGCTATTTTTACAATCACAATGATAGAAGCATACAAGAAGAATTTTGAGCAAAAAATTTGGAGTATTATGGCTCATTATAACGCCGCGAAACGGGATTTACAACTTTGCAGGAGTGGAGAGCCTCAGACTTTGTTTATCAACACGAGCTCGTTTCGCTACTTTCATACAAAATTAACTCAAAATATACAAGAATTACTGTTACTGGACGAATATTCTCAGGAAATTTGAAGAAATGAAGCAGCTACATTGTGAACAAAAGCGTACAGAGGTTAGTTTTAAAATACCTTGACGCTACTTTTATAATTATATGAAAATTAAGGAACAGTTTTAAATGTCAACTTTGTCCGTTTCACACTTTGCGTTTGCGGTTTACGTTTTGTATTCTTTTCTATTGGCTCACCATAACACGTATGTCGTCATTTTCAGGTCAGTGTGAACGCCTGAGCAGGCGTCTTGTTTATTAATATATCGTATTTCAGAACTATTTCTACGTTCCTGATAAATCTTTTATGGGTAATAACGTTGCAGAACTACACAGTTGCCTGCGGAAGAGGCTAAAGCATGTCTTAGATCTGAAATATTTTTACGGGAACTAACACTTTCAAGCACGCTGAGTTCAAATCCGAAAAGTTCCCGATCCGTAGACCCGCAGTTTTCTCACAAAATGCTATTTTATCTTCAATAATTTCACGACAAATTTTTCATTGTTCAACGACACGGATCGATGACGATACACGATTATGTCACTCAAAAGGTGAAAAGGACCAATTTCTATTAAACAGTCTTCCTTTTAACAAAAGACCGGTTTTGCTCGAATCATTTTGAGTTATGCAATCTTATGCGTGTTGGATGTAAACAACATATCTTGTCTACAACTTTGAGAAAGTAGCTACAGATAACGCTTTCTAAAATCCTCAGTTCTAGAGATATCTCTATAAAATCACAAGGACATTAATGCGAAGTCTTTTGGCTATGCCACTGGCCTGAAAAATAACTCTTTTAACGCGATCAAGTTATTTAAAACAAAAGTGACACGAAGCCAACGTAACGGCAAAGGCAACGCTAAAATGAAGTATTGTCGATGGGTTGTTGGTAGAACACTTACGACAGGATCACTGAATCTTAAATAACCTTAAACTATAAATGTTCACATCAAAGACACAGCTAGATCAGTCCCAAAGTATAAAATATGCTCTGTAAACTTATGACGAAGTGAGGAAATGTGTGTCAATGAGCTGTTTATTTGGTGATTTCAACGTATATCGAAGCCCTCTTGTAGTGATTGACAGATATACATAATTTATAGAATAAATTATAATGCGCGGGAAAAATAAGGACACATGTAATTAGGGCGCGAAGGAGAAAACATTGAGTTTGTATCTAGTAAGTAAGTAAAGGAAAATATATAACTATAAAGATTGTTTGATTACTACATTGGCGACGAGGATAAATTATGGCAATGAATGGCTTACAGCCAATGCCTTTCGAACCGAAAGCTGATCCAACGAATACAAGCGCTCGATGGACACAGTGATTCAACGTTTTAACACATATTTAGTCGCTTCAAATGTGAAGGACACTGCACGTAAAAGAGCACTATTATTGTATCAAGCTGGACCTGAAGTTCACGAGATATTCAAAACATTGCCTGACACAGGAGACGAGAAAAATTACGCAGCTGCTGTCAATGCCCTTACTGCATATTTTGAACCAGAGAAAAATCGAATCTATCAAACATATATGTTTAGACAAGCATCTCAACACTAAGATAATGAAACCATCGACGAATTTCACACACGCTTGAGACGATTAGCAAAACATTGTGAGTTCGTGGATGTTGAATTCGAAATCAAAATGCAAATTGTGTGCAACGGTACATCCTCGAGACTTCGTAA